GGCATGTAGCGGTGCCCGTGTAGTGGTCCCCGTCGTGGTTCCCGCTGCCACCCCCGAGCGGCCGCCGCCTCCTTGTAGCGTTTGTGCCGCACTCCAGACCCGTTTTTCTCTGCGACATGGCGCATTAGCCTGCAATGGCGGCGGCTGGCAGGAAGAGGGAGGGTGCGGGAGAGGCCGTTCTTCCGTCGTGCGGCCCCTCGGGCACAACGACTGCGGCCGCCATTTCGCTGTGCTCCGTAGCGGATAAGAGAGATTTGGCCCTCGGCTTGGACAGGGTTGTAGATAGGAGAGGCATCCTTAGCTATTCTGGGGGGCACCGAAACACTTAGGTGTGTATTTGGGAAGTGTGGAGCAGTGAGTCCAGCACATCCATGAGTCATTGTTGTGTCCTCAGTGTGTGGCCCCCCATGTAAGCTGCCCGGGGTAGTGCGCTGGGATATTATTTTCTCACTCATTTGCCGGGAAGAGATTTTCAAAGCATTAAGGTCGTTTAGTGCCATGCTCTGCTTCTTGATGAGGAATGCTGGTACATGCTGCAGCATTCCTCATCAAGAGGATTCTCTCCCCCCTCGCCCCCTTTCCGAGGGAATTAGCACGTGTAGTGTACTTTGGCTGCCTGGGGAGGTGGGGGAAGACATATTGCAAAGCCCAGATAGTTTCCCATTTCCTTTTCACCGTTCCCACACGCACATGCATAAGAGCCACGACACTTGGAGGCATTCGACCATGATCCTGGTGGGTAATAAGAAGCAGTCCTGCACAAACTTTGGTTCAGATTTTCCTCAACTTGAATGAAGTCGAGATCAGATGCAGACGAGGGCAATCATCCACACCCTACGTGGAGGGAGATACTGTCATGATGTCAGCCTTTGCTTTTCTTTCCTCCTTTCTCAAAACCTTAGTTTTTTGGCTTAAGTATTTCAAGTAAAGTATGGTGAGCAAAGGTGGTGCAGGTTTTTGTATGGGTTTTTTTTAAATCTTGACCTCCTTCATTGCAAGCTGAAACCTTATAAAATTGAGAACAGAGAAATCAGCAGGTCACACTAGTTTCTGTTCCTATATTAAAAGCAGAGAAGAAATTGGATCCCGTGGCAAAACAGCTAAAAATAACTTTTCCATGTAAGCAATTGTTTTAGCTGCTTCAGGGTTGTTGAATAGGTTGACAGCTGGGAGGGCTGATGAGTTCAAAGCATTTCAACATGCTTCAGTAAAGTCTGGAAACTTGTCACGTAAGTTGTTAAGCTAATACCTTGTGTTTTTTTTCCCAGCAGACATTCCTATTGGCATTGGGAGTTAACTACCAACACACTTAGAGCTGAAAATCTATTTTGTTGCTTTAACTCTTAGGTTTGGCATGATATACTGTATGCACACTAGGTACAACTTTAAATATTTACAGAAAGAGCAGTACATCTCTGTAGTATTCTCTGCATGGGCAGGTGAACTTCCATCTTGGGAATGTCTGTTTTGTTTCTGTTATCTTACTTCTTGTCTCTGTGAGAGATACAGCAGCATTGTAAGTTCCTTGGAGTGATGAGGCATCTCCTAGTGACTTTCTGCTCATTGTAACTAACAGATTTGTTCTGGGACAACTTTCAGTGCTGTAGCTAAGTTACAGTACACAACTGTTTCAATGTTAGTTTAACTCAGCTGATAAAAATGTTCTGAATACTTTAATTTAGAGTTGAATGTAGTATTTTGTTAATGTTGGGTGTAAAAAAGCTAACTTTGACAGCTTTTTTTAGCAACTTTCTATGAGGCAATGTAGGATGTGGCTGAAGAGGGCTGTGTTCCCCTTCAGTTGATGGTATGCAACAGCAAGGAGACAACTCTTGACCATCATGGCCTTCCAAGACCCTCATGGCAGAGACCATGCCTTGAGAGCTTTATGTTGACCAGCATGGAGCTCACCAGGGAAAGCAGCAGGTGACAAAATCAGAGAGGGATTGCATACTTTTCATTGCTTAAAAATATATTTAAATAGGTTTATACCTTTCCTCCCTAACAATTTCCAAAGTTTAATTTTGCTTTACAACTACTTGTTTTAAAAGCCCTTGAAGTGTTAACATTGTTTCATACCTCCCCTGTATGACTTAAGGAATTGAAGAGCTCAGTTGAATCGTTGAGTATCATAATGCCTCCTAAGTCACGCTGATGTTTGATTTAAAGGATTTCAAGAGGAGGTTTACATTGGGTGGAGAGGAGCTGAAGATAATACAAACACTTTGATAATTGTTGGTGCATTAAATCATGGTACTCAAGAGTTACCCCACAACACAAACAAAAACCCCACCAAAATATACACCTAATCTTGTAAATATCAGTGATTTTAATGGAGGACAAATGTAGTTTTGACAGTATGCTATTTTGGCTACTGTAATAAAGTTTCAAGAAACATCCAAAGTAATAATGAATTGTAGCCAAAGATACTGATACAGTATAGTAAGACAAATTAGGTAATTTGTTTGAATGCTTAGATATGGTTTTGCTCACTGAGCTTATCTTGTGAAATACTTGATTTTTGTAATGATGCATGCATAACTTTGTTAACATTTGTTGTGAAAAGTTGGGCATGTAAATAGAAAGTACAGGGTAGCAATCAAACACATTTGGAAGCAAAAGTAATGCAGATGGCTAGTGCTACAGATTGCTGAGGATCAAGTGTTAAAATTTCTGATGTTGCAAGAATAGAATCAGTGCAAGAATCTTGCACTGGTGTTGGTTTAACACATCCTCTAGTTCCAGGCTGGTGGATCACTGAATACAATAGGTTACACGTAAGATAATTCTAATAAGCAGTATTTGCAAAATGTTAAGTATTTTGGGGTTTAAAATCTGGAGAAATGGGATTTGACATATGTAGTGGGTTGGGGTATCAAAGGTGGAATTTGTTTGCCCTGTGCCAGTTGTGCTTACCATAGTTACATAAGACAGTAATTGACATAGGTTGTTTCCTACAGATTTTTGTGTTAGTTTGTACATAGTTATTCCAACAGTTGTAAAAAGACATTTACTAGGGTAGCAGGTGTTCTCTCTGCAGCTCTTAATCGTGAGCAAAATAGTCTGAGGATTTTAACTCTACCCTTTTAAATACTTACATTTTTCTACTTTCAACCTTCTTCCGTTTCCTGCTGTAAAGCCACACCCGTGTGTTGCATCCAGAGAAGGCCCTGCTTCACAGGATTTGGGGTAAGTACTGACTTATCCAACCTGTTTTCTAGGTTTCCTAGATCTAAAAGAAAGGCTGAGTTAGAGTACCCTTCCAAAATGGCTGCTCTTAAGGAAGAGAGAGAGGTGGAAGACTACAAGAGGAAAGGAAGACGATCCTCACAGGTGAGAGGGTTGCTTTTCTAGTTAAAAAAGTAGCTTTAAGGGGAAAAGATTAAAAAAGAAAACTTAACCATTTCTATCTGATGTGTTAATTCATAGCTTTTTTTTCTACCTTCTTCATCCCCATATTAGTGGAGTAACTTTAAATTGTAGTATATTGCTTACAATTTTAAGGGGTGGGGTGTTAAGCATAGTGGGAAAATTTTGCTTTTCTAGTTCTCTGTTGTAACAAAAATTATTAAATGTATGTTTGTGATTAAAGCAAGGTGTACTTATCTTTTTAAGAAATTCATGCATTCTCAGTATCAG